TCTTTTTACCACTCATAAATCAGAAGGACTAGCTNAATTAATAACTAATAAAATATTTTAAGAAAAATAAGGGTAAAATAGGAAGTTAGTTACAAATCACAACTTTCTTGCATTTCCTTATATTTTTTACAAGAAAAAAAAGTTAGTTATTTGTGAAAATTTTAAAAAAAGTTATGAAAATTTTTTAAAAAATTCTCTTTCTTACATTTTTTATTATTCTCCCGCTAACCAAACGAACCCATAGAAATCAGTGAATCAGTGAGTCTCGTTAACTTTTTTCAACGAAGTTCATTCATCCAAGAATTCTTATTCATTTGAGTTCCCATTTGGGATGCATAGTGTTTTGACACTCTCCACTCTCCCACGGCTCTCTTATCCCTCTTTCATGCCTCTATTCTAATAGTCTTTTTAACTTTTTAACTCTCTCACTTATCTTTTTTTTTCGGTTACAAAGCATTCAGACTTGCATCAACTATTCTCTCGAACTTAGCAGCTGTCATCGGAGCTTGAACTAGATTAGAGCATATCTCAGAAGAACAAAGATAGAACCCTTCTTTTTACCACTCATAAATCAGAAGGACTAGCTGGGCCCTTATGGGGTTCAGTGATCTTTTTTACCACTGAACCAGTCCCAAGGATTATTCCCCCTCTTGTCAGATCTTATATAATTGATCTAAAATAGCTTACTATCTCCATTGGTTTCAAACTCTTATACTTTCTCAAGCTCTCAATAACCCCCATCCCCTTCTATCTCCTATCCTATTTCTTGCTTAATTTTGTTTATTTTACACAACATTGGTCATATACGCATTAATCCACAGACACATCGCGTGTACCATAAAAAGTAGTTTGATTAATGTTCTCTTTCTTTGAAGCTTCTCTTGCATAACATCTATAATCTTTTTACTTCGTTAATTTGACCCTTCCATCCTGTGGTCAGTGGGCGTCTACAAAATCAAAGTAACAAAGATCACTTCCTGATGCAAATAAGTTGCAATATGTCAATTACACACGATTCATATATGACACGAATCAAATATGGCTGAATACTTTTTTATACGAACCCGCTAAGATTCAACACAAATCCGTTTTACATGACACGATTGACAGACCTATGCAATGAATGACTTCATCAACTGCTATCTTAAGTGGCGAGAGGGTTGATTTTTTTTCAATGATCATATCACTCAATTCACCAACACTTCAATGGAGCCTAACAGGCCCCTATATCTGTATGCCAGAACTTTTAAAATCACAAATGGTTNAGATGAAAAAAAAAAAATTAAGATGCTCGAAGTGCTTAAATACGTGGAAAAGTAGGATGAGCCCTAATGAAAGAAGTTTAGAAATTGTCCTTCTGTACGGACTTGAAGTTTTTGAGGTACCATGGAGATTCCACCTTTATCATGTTGATAAGTTCTCTGTATGTGTGTGTGTTGAGCTGGCTGTTCTAGGAATGCCAAATTCCACAAAGAAATAAAAATCTGTTGGGCTTTAAAAGGACATAGTCACATGTGTACCACAAACTTCATGATATCTGTCCTCATGATCATATATATCACCTAAAATGTATCCTTAATTCTAACATCTATACTATTAATAAAATGAGAGGATATGAGTTTGGTGTCTTCTCGCTTTATTAGTAGTTAATTTATGAGTAATGGTAGAAATCTCAAATTAATAGAGTCGTTTGATTAAAAAGAAAAAAATGATGGAAAGTGAAGTGAAAGAAAAGAAAATAATAGAAAATATATTTTTATATATATATTTGGTTAGAATGAAAAATTTATCGGAAAGTTTAAAAAAATTTCATTCTATTATTTGAAAGAAAAAAAAGTTATAAGAAATTTTTTATAATTGTCTAAATTACCCTTAATTATATTGAATCGGTTTAAAAAAGAAAACAAAATATGCAATTATAATTAAAAGTTAAAAAAATGGCTCGAAACTTAATTTTAAGACAATTATTAATACAAAGGTCTTTGGGCTAAATTATATGATTAATTAAATTTATACCAAAATTTTTTAGAATTAATAACTAATAAAATATTTTAAGAAAAATAAGGGTAAAATAGGAAGTTAGTTACAAATCACAACTTTCTTGCATTTCCTTATATTTTTTACAAGAAAAAAAAGTTAGTTATTTGTGAAAATTTTAAAAAAAGTTATGAAAATTTTTTAAAAAATTCTCTTTCTTACATTTTTTATTATTCTCCCGCTAACCAAACGAACCCATAGAAATCAGTGAATCAGTGAGTCTCGTTAACTTTTTTCAACGAAGTTCATTCATCCAAGAATTCTTATTCATTTGAGTTCCCATTTGGGATGCATAGTGTTTTGACACTCTCCACTCTCCCACGGCTCTCTTATCCCTCTTTCATGCCTCTATTCTAATAGTCTTTCTAATTTTTTAACTCTCTCACTTATCTTTTTTTTTCGGTTACAAAGCATTCAGACTTGCATCAACTATTCTCTCGAACTTAACAACTGTCATCGGAGCTTGAACTAGATTAGAGCATATCTCAGAAGAACAAAGATAGAACCCTTCTTTTTACCACTCATAAATCAGAAGGACTAGCTGGGCCCTTATGGGGTTCAGTGATCTTTTTTACCACTGAACCAGTCCCAAGGATTATTCCCCCTCTTGTCAGATCTTATATAATTGATCTAAAATAGCTTACTATCTCCATTGGTTTCAAACTCTTATACTTTCTCAAGCTCTCAATAACCCCCATCCCCTTCTATCTCCTATCCTATTTCTTGCTTAATTTTGTTTATTTTACACAACATTGGTCATATACGCATTAATCCACAGACACATCGCGTGTGCCATAAAAAGTAGTTTGATTAATGTTCTCTTTCTTTGAAGCTTCTCTTGCATAACATCTATAATCTTTTTACTTCATTAATTTGACCCTTCCATCCTGTGGTCAGTGGGCGTCTACAAAATCAAAGTAACAAAGATCACTTCCTGATGCAAATAAGTTGCAATATGTCAATTACACACGATTCATACATGACACGAATCAAATATGGCTGAATACTTTTTTATACGAACCCGCTAAGATTCAACACAAATCCGTTTTACATGACACGATTGACAGACCTATGCAATGAATGACTTCATCAACTGCTATCTGAAGTGGCGAGAGGGTTGATTTTTTTTCAATGATCATATCACTCAATTCACCAACACTTCAATGGAGCCTAACAGGCCCCTATATCTGTATGCCAGAACTTTTAAAATCACAAATGGTTATCGAGGACCCATGTTTGGGGTTTTACAACCAGTAATCAAGTCACCACTTACATGGGTGTCTCACATTGAGGGGTAGTCTGTATTATCCTAAAGGGGCTTAAGATCAGTGGTCCAAGTGAGTGTTGCCAACTCCTGTCATGTACTCAGAGCTTCGCAAGTTCAAATGAGGAATGATTTTTCCATTCTAGCTTGCAAGGAAAGTGACAGATCAATCAGAAAATCATGACTATACTCGACAACAAAATCCTATGAAAGGGCAAGTGTCAGTCCCCATACATAGCTTTACAACTTTGCAAAGACCTGTGTATATACTGACGTTCGACTTTGTGGAGAATTGTGTTTTTGGTAAACAGTTGCACGGGCCAAGTTATTGCGTTGTGAACAGCTTGATGCACTATCTACCTTCACCCTTTGAGCAAAATGTGACAAAAGAAAGGAAAATCAATGGACTTAAGTTATGTCAACTACATAACTAGAGAACTTGCCAGAAGGAAAGAGAGGGGGGGTGGGGGCGTAGTTATCTGTCAACATACAAAAGTCAGCAGTTCTTCAAGCTTAGCTTCTAAACAAAGGCTAGTAAAAGGGTGCAACCTCATCACAAGAAAGACATTCTTGTAGCCTAGTGTATAGATCAAGCAAATACTTATGTGAGGGATAATTGCTAAACACAAAGTTGAATATCTCGAAGGCTAGCTCCCAGTCAGGCCCAAAAAGGTAACCTGACAAAATAAAAAGGAAGAGCGGAAAACTCCAACCATTTCTCACCTGGGGAACGAAATGCACAGGTAAACTTAACTCAGAATTCGGCTACCTTTACTGAACTTTTATAGGGAAGCATCAAAAGCTCAGGACAATAATCACAAGATCTGATCTGAATATTGCAATACAGTTTAATAGCAAATATTATCTGGTGGAAAGAGAAGGAAAATGATATAACTAGGGATTAAAGCAATATATCAGACTCGCTTATCCTAAGAACCAAAGATTAGGATCAAAAACCAAACTGTTTTATCAGCAGCATTGTTCAGAAACTGAACGGACATCAGGGCTATCCAATTTCAGGACAGAAAGAACCATCAATGGTGCATGCCAACTCAGAGAATACAATATATTGAGTGATTGAGGCCATGAAACATCTGTTGCAGAACTTACTCAAATAATCACAAATTCAAGAAGATATCATAACTTGTCCATCAACACTCGCAACAGATGTCCTCAGATGTCCTCTAGTAACTAACATTCTATAGGACTGATAATATCCATAATAGTAATAAGCAAGTATGCTGTAAGATACAACCACCCTTTACAATAATCTCCATAGACCCAAAACCAGTTTTCTTTTGACTTACTACAGCCTTTTTCTTTTTTCCTTCTACAAAGAGAACAGCATCCCAAACCTTCTAAACCCTTTGCCCTCAAGTTAAAAACAGCTATATCATGCATGAAGGCTTAAAACTTTTGTGGGAAGATTCAACCACTTCAAACCCATAACTTACGGATGTACAACAGATCTAAACTTGAACAAAAGGCAAAACCAATCAGCAAAAGGTAACAGGCAGAAAATTACATTCGTGAAGTATAAACACACGATAGATACAATAGGGCTCCAGATCTCATAATCATGTAAGTGGCTCATCCCAGAAATATATATGGAAAATAAGAGGACTCAAGAAAGCCAATTTGTATTTGCGAAGCAATTTCAGTGAGTGTACAAAGATTGGAGTCAAATTTTCTCTTAAAATTACGCCCCAGATGTCCTTACACATGCATTGACTCCTTTCACCAGCCCAACCCTGGTGACCTTGTCCTATATTGCAATTAAATACCAAAAATTCCATTCTCCCGTGTCCCAGGACAATGTGGCTTCTAAACATTGTCCAAAAGAAGATATTGTCAGCAATGACTGCCTTCCAAGGATGCCCACAACATTCTAATTCCAGCGATAAAATGTTAAAGAGCTTCAGACATAAACGAATGATATGAATTGGACTACCCTGCAGCCCAACTTGAAGAAGACAGTGCATAGATAAATCTGCCTACATCACAGGAGCAGAATGGAAGGGGAGAGAAAAGGCAGATGCATAATGAATATGATTAAGAGAGCTCCTACAAATCTCTGGAAAATCTGTCACAGATAGTTATTCAAGAATATAAGGTGACATTTCCGGATTAATAGATTGAGGCATCAAATCTTGGCTCATAGAAACAGACCTGGCTGTTATATGACTGAAGAGCACAGCCAGCAATCCAAGACCAAACTTTCTTATCCACATCATAAAGAAGGCCCTTTCCTTGGTTCCACGATGTGAAGCAAATCAAATTATCCTGTCCAAAGCACTCAAATCTCTCTGCTGACAACCTCAAAAGAGATCGAAAGTATCTGGGTGGCATCCTACTTATCTCCACCCAGACAAATTTTGCATGATCCAATTCCCATATTCTCATGCTCTGAAGAGTACTATAAAGACCTATCCTGCCAACTAGAAATAAGCGTTTCTGAGTGCCAGCAACCAAGTACCCATCTAGTAAAGACCGGGGAAACTTAGCAGGAATATGTTCCCAATATCCAGTGTCCACTCGATACATCATTAAGCCAAGTGGCGAAAGTGTTTCCAAATACAACCTTGAGTCACAAAATGCCATTTTTGAGGAACAAAGATTAACAGCAGGCATTGTCTGATGAAGTGACCAATTGTCACACTTTGAATCATACACTTCTGTTGGCAATGATTTGTCACCATAGATATCGCTGGTGGCAATGACTTTAAAAGATCTGTCCGTCCGATCAACAACCATAATCAACTGCCTTTGCTGATTATAATGCATAACCGGCAATGTCCTCCAAGTTTGTGTGAGGGGATTACAAACTAAAGTTTTGAAAGTCAAGCCATCTAGCCCAGAGAAGCAAACAAGGCCCCCTGAGGAACCAACCAACCAAAAAGCCCAAGGTGGTAAGAATGTAAATGGGATCCTAAACCACTGTTTCAATGGCAAGCTAAACACCGAGCACTGGGGGGTCTGTGAATTCTTCCAATATGTAAGAAGACAAGGCCCATGAGAAGGCACTTGTGAATGAAACTTAAGAAAACTATTATCTTGTAAAATAGAATTCCACCTTTTGCAAACAGATCGGAGCCGAAAAATCATGAATGGCGGTACCCTAGCTAAGATTTCATTCAGCAAATCTTCAGGCAGCATTGCCCATATATTATCCTCCATATGGACATCTGGTTGAACAGCTTTACCAAATGTAGCAATTGTCTCCTCATCTAACCCCCGCGGTTTGGTCTTAATCACCTTCTGCTTAGAAGGACTTGTATTCCTTGACCCCATTCGACCTAATGGACTCGTATTCCTAGACCCTATTCGGCCCAGCGGGCTGGTGTTTCTCGACCCACCTCCCCCAAAATGAGTGACTTGCCTGTGAAAACCATCCTCTTCCCCAAAAGACCCATTTCTCACTAATTGAGAATTCAATCCTCTAGACCCAGATTCAGAAGATTCCCCAAATCCAACCATGGTATCAATACGCAAAACCCTCACTGCCCCAATGTCAGTGCTTAATAAACCACCAAGTTCAAACCCTAATTGTGTTCCTCAAATTTTGAAACCCATAAATTCACAATTCACAATATCCAGATTCAAAAACTTCAAACTTCCACCACTGTTAGGAGAGTTCAAAGTTCTAATAACCAAATATCAATGCTCATTCAACTGACACATGCAAACCCTAATTGATGTGATATAAACCCAAAAAAACCAACTTTCCAGTCTAATTGACAATTTGCTCCATCAGATCAAGAAAAAACCATAACCCAAGTCCAACTAATNATAAACCCAAAAAAACCAACTTTCCAGTCTAATTGACAATTTGCTCCATCAGATCAAAAAAAAACCATAACCCAATTCCAACTAACTCCCAAAATTAGTCCGCAGAACCAGCATTACAAACTCAGATAAGAAAACCCCAATTATCCTCTCAGATCAAATAAGATAACCGTTTGTGAATTACCAGACGAATCCAATAAAAAAAAACTGAATCTTGATATCAATACGATAATACAGAAATTGATGACTTGAGATGTTGGAGTTTTTAGATGGGTTACCTTTGTTGATTGAATATTCTGATGTTTTTCTCTTGTGAGGAAAGGCTGACAGAGCTCAGAGAAGTAAATATTTTCTTGTGGCGTAGAAATATGAGAAAACCCCCTCAACTCTATTTCTTTTTTTCTCTGCCTTTCTGTAGCTTACATTGTGTTGGGTTGCCTTTGTCGCTATTGGTTCGAAAGAAATATCAATTTCTTCGAGAACAATTTGAAAGGGTTATCTGCGTCTCTGCGGTATAGTATGAAAGTTTCTGCGTGTCCACTCAGGCTTGAAGGCTGAATGATAAGTTTGATTTTTTCAACAGAAAAAAATAAATGACCAAAAAAAAACAGAAAAAAATAAAATAATAATTGCTCTTTCTCATGGTTGTATTTGAACTTTGAATTGAACTTCAATGTTTTGGTGTGTTACATTTTTTTTTTGTTGGTATTAGGTGTTTGATCTCATGATGATGGATCCGACGTTGGATCTCAACTATCTATTTCAAATTTCTTAAACAAAATCTGTAAACTCATAATATTTTGTGTTTACAGTTCATTCCTATATTGAGGGCTACCTTTTAAGTTGTCTATTACATTTTTAATGATAGAAGTTGTCAATAAGTTTTCGAGGTAATTAATAGGTTTTGGTTAGTGAGAGCTTGACGAAAAAAAAAATTTGTTAGTTTGGTGCATAAATAAGAATACCTAAATCTCAAAAACATTTAAAAAAAAAAAAAAGTGGGGCTTGATACAAAATCATAATCTTTTTTTAATTATCAAGAGATAGTGATAAGCAAAAGTGTAAATCAACTTGGATTTAAGTATGTTTAGATTAACCTTAACTGTTATTGGTGGATCACTAGAAGCTAAGTTTTGATTCCCGTTCAACCTTATTTTAATATAAATATATAATCATTCAAGTCAAACTCAAGGCGACGTCAAATTGAATTCCTAAGAAATAATTTTAAATATTAAGTCATAGAAATTAATAATCAATCTTTATATTATTATGAATTCAACAAAACAAAACACCATAATATAGTTAAAATCACCTATAAACAAGTTCAAATTTATAAAAAAAAAAAAA